CAGTCCAGCGACGCCTAGGCGCCAGTCATTATCCATGCAAATAGAGGAGTGGTGCATTGGCGCTAGTCCACCAGCGTCGAGGCGCCAGAACTGTTCTAGACGGGTTCTGCAGTTGATTATGCACGAATTTGAGAGTTAACAAGCCGGGGAAGCAGTTTGAATGGAGAGGAGGATCATTGTGGAAGACTTAGAGAATTTCTAAGGGTGCAGAAAACGTGAGTTTAGATCAAGGGTTTACATTTTTCTGCATTTTCTTAGAGAGATTTGAGAGAATTTTGTAAAGGAATACTGTTATCAGTGCAAGGAACATTTGAAGTCACTTGGGGAGTTTTCACTTCTTTATTCAGGGCGAAAGTTAAGTGTTTCATTTTACATTGCCTTGTATTATTTGTGAACTCTTTTTCTATGAATTTGCTTTATTATAAGATGATGAATTGTAGTGTTTTCTTTATGCACTATGAGTCGATTCTTTATAGCATTCTCTTGTGATGAATTAGTAGTATGTGTAAAATATTTGGTTTTATTTAGAATAAGTTTTTAATCATTAAAGTGATGGTTTTGCTTTGTTCTTAATTTACTTATCATTCTTACAAAGTGATATGTTAAAATTTGTTGTGAATCCATAATGACTCGAGAGAGCTGACTTTAACAACTAGGACAAACCACATTGCACTAGTGGCTGAAGGAATAATAGTCATAGAGCAATGCAAATAGATAGGGAAATAGACTTCGATGAGTTCAAATTAGGGTTTCTAGGATGACAAATAGAAACACTAACCAAGTTTGAACAAACTTCTTTATGCACTCGAAAGAAGGTAAAAAACAGGTTTGCTCCTATTTGTCACTTTAATTTCTTTTCTAAGTGTTCTATTCCTATACACACTACTTATGTCATTACAAGGGAAGAGTAATTTTTATATCTTGATCTTTCTCAATTTAATTAGATGTAGTAGAATTAATTTATGAGTAATTCGATAAAATTATTGATGGTTTAGTAGGATTAACAAGGATAACTTAGATCAACTATACTTATAGGCTAAGACACATTATAGTAGACTCTAACTTTTCTTAGGTGTAAATCACAGTCTTCCCTGTGAGATTGAAAAACTCTTTAATAGCCCAATAAGCTTTATGCTCCAATTCTACTTTTAAGTGATAAGTTTTTCCAAAAATTAATCTATACGGGGACATTCCTATAGATGTCTTATAAGCCGTCTTATAATATATAGCAATATCTAATCTAGCAGACCTATTCATTTTATTAGGATTTACAGTTTTTTCCAAAAATTTTTTAATTTCACGATTAGATAATTCTGCTAACCACTAGTCTATAATTGGGACTATAAACAATTGCAATCCTATTATAATATCATACTTTTTCACCAATTTTTCAATTCGTTTGTTCCGAAAGTGAGATCCTCCATCAGTAATGATTATTCTCGGTATTCTATATCTTGTAAAAATATATTTAATAAAAAATTTTGAAACGCTCCGAGCATTACATCGAGGTAGAGCGATTGCTTCAATCCACTTTGATACATAGTCTACTGCAATTGGTACATATATATTTTCAAATGAAGGTACAAATAGTCTCATAAAATCTAATCCCCAAACATCAAATATTCCAACTTTCAAAGTAAAATTTAAGGGCATTTCATTTCTTTTGAAATATTGTTTACTCGTTGACATCGATCACATATTTTTATATATATATTAACATCTCTAAATATAATAGGTCAATAAAATCAAGATTGTAAAATTTTATGAATAGTTATATCAATCCCAAAATGACCTATCGATATTAAACTACACATACATAAACACAATAACCAATAAAAATAAACAAACACACTAAAATATAAAAATATTTGATTAAACTACAAATAATTTTTAGTTCAAATAAAATACTCAAAATTATAAAGTAATTTATTGTTACTCTCCGGCAACGGCTACAAAAAATTGATACGACAGTTTTGTGTGCGTTCTAAATATTTTTCAATACTTCAATACACACACGCAACATGAGTAATAAATATGTAGTTAAATCCCAATAAAAATAAATTAAGTATGAATAATTTTATCTTTTAAAATCTTTAAACTGCCAAACCGTAATAATAATGCAAGTATACGTACCGCTCGAGTAATAAATAGCTCTAATGCAGTTCTAAGTATCGATCCCACGGGGAGTTAAAAATTTTATGGTTATAACGTCAAACACAATATTCAAACTATAAAACTTAAGTAAGCAAAACAAATCTAAAGTAAATTTAATGTGCGCTAAATGAAATGCAGTTGAAAGAACTAAGGAAAGAACTAAGTTAACTGAACTAAGTTAACTAAACTAATTGTTAAACTTCAAAAGTAAACTTATAAAAGACTAAACAAAGCTTTTTAGTGAAGAGTTCAAATTTAAGAAAATATTTCCCTTTATAATGAGTTTATGGATTATGAAGTAATTAAAATCATTTAAAATACTTATAAAATTGTATTGTATCAAATAGGAGCAATCCTATTCTTTACCCTCTAAGAGTATAAAAAATATTGACTAATCTAGAAGTTGGTCCCTAAATCCGTGGTTAGGTATGAGAGGATACTGACTGTCATTCTAGAGCTCTCACTTCTCGCTCGCCTGAGGGCTAACAATCTTGCTTTGGAATCCAAGCAACTGAACCAAATTGGAGATTTTAATCTGTCACTTTAAAATCTTCAATTTTGAGTCCATCAAAAGTATATTTCCTTATTTATTTGCACTCAACCCCATGAATTACATTCTCACCCATGAAATTAAATGCAACTCTTACCTTGTTGTAGAAAGCACAGCTTTTTCGGATCGTATGTTTCTCAACAATTTTTAATCTTTCAATTGAGCATATGAAAAAAAATAAATGAAGATTAGAGTTCGAATTATCACAATTTATTGACATTTAAAACCTTATAAAATAAAATTAATTCTTCACAAAATCATATCTTATGGTAGGGAGAAGATTAAAAAAAAGTACTTATAATTTATGAGAATGATAAGACAAAACACGTATTTCATATATAAAAATAAGTTTAAAAAAACACAACTTATCTCACACTTCTTCCAAAGCAAATTTCTAGAAGTTCTCTTTAAACACTTTCTCTCTTTACAATCACACACAATTCTCTCTTAGATGTGTAATGAAAAAGAAATCTCTCACATTTCAGCTTCTCTTACAACCCTAAAAGAAAATCCTCTCTTCCCCAAAACTTCTCCCTCACGCCAAAACCTTCCTCTCAATCTCACACCCCCTCTCTTCTCTAGACTCTTCTCATTTTAATTGGGGTCAGCCTTCTTTTAAAAGGAATTCAAAATTTCATCCTATTTTCTTCCCAAAAGTCGCATCTGTTAACATTAAGAGACAATTCCTTTCATCCAAGAGACATATCTCTTCATTAAAGAGTCTTTCCAAAGTGTATAGATACATTGAACCACTCCATGGGGCATTTGAATTGTTTAAAGCCTTCAAAAACCGTTCCAAAATAGTGACGAATCGCCTTACTCTGTCTTAATTCTTCTCTGGCACTTCTGGCGCCAACCTAATAAAGTCCGCGCTGTTTTTTGGATTCTGGCGCTTCTGGCGCTTCTAGCGCCGCTTCTCTGTAAAATGGCGCCTCTGGCGCCAGCTCTCTGGATAATGACATCTCTGACACTAGTTCTGGCGTCAGGATCATGAAAATCTCCATTTTGGCTCCAAATTTTATTCTTTCTGCTACTTTTTGCTCAACATGTCTAAAATTGATATGCCCGCAACAAAAAACATGAAAATACTTTTCTTTAAAGTACAATATCATCAAAATAAACATAAAATATATACATAAAATAGTACATTATTTTGGTGTATCAATGCCCGCCAACGTCGATGCCTTCTTCGCAATGTTGACTCTGATGCCCACCGACTTTGAAGTCTATTGATGTTGATGCCTTCTCCGATGTCTTCTCTTACGACACTGCTTTACCTTCTTCTTTTTCTGCCCTTTCTGCTTTCCTTATTCTGCATCGCCTGCCGGCAACCACCATAGAGATTTCTGTGAGGACGGTGGTCGAGAGATAAGGAGCGGCGAAGGAGAACGAAGTGGAGCTTGTCATCTTTAGTGGCTTGGTTGCGGCAGAAAAGATGCGAGTGCTTTTGTCAGAGAAGCTTTGGCTACTTCCTGTGGCGGCGGTGGAGGAACAGAGGAGAGCAAACTAGTCGGGTTCGAGGCTTCGGTGGGGGAGGGTGTTGAGCGAGGAGATAGAGGGGATAACTACATTTTTTTGGTATTTTGTTTTACCAAACATTTTTTGTTTTTTATTTTTAAAAATAGAAAAATTATAAGCATATTTATGTTAAAATAAAAACAAAACAAGCTTAAAGCAAAAATAGAAAACAATAACATAAAATAATCCATTTTTAAATGTATTTTTGCATATTTTTCTGTACTGTCTATTTTCCGGTAAAGATTACGTCATTGCTTATATCATTCTCCAAAGATTTTTGGACTCAAATGCATTCACTTTTTTCTTTAATCTTTATTTTTAGAGATATGTTTGTGTAGTGTCTTTTTTAATGTTTTTATTTTTTGTTTTTAAAAATAAAACAACTTATTTTTAATAACACTGATAATATTTTATTATATGTTTTGAGCGTTTTTTAAAATAAACATCACTATAGACTAGTGACAGCAAGCATCACCTTGCCACTGTCTGATTGCCCTTTGCCACTACCACTACTGCAACCACTACCACTACCGGCAATCACCTACCTGTGTTGGCCTTTGCCAAAACATATTTTATTTTAACGTATTAAACATAAGCAATATAAAAATTAAAAAAATTGGAACAAATAAATAAAAGTTATAAAAAACAGCCTTATGGACCCTTTTGTTCTCTTGGAACTGTTATTTAATTTAATTGGTTTTATGCATAATTTTGAAAGAATTTTGTTCAGAATTCTTATGATTTTCCCCCCATCTTTTATTTATTCTGTTATATATAGATTATTCCCAATGTAGAATCTCGCTTCAGAGTAAGCCAAGATGGGAGTGCAGATGATGTTGTGGAACTCTTCAATATTGTGCGCCAGATCTTGCCACAACGTCCAGAAAATCCTGAACAGGTGCCACCTGAGCAAGAGGGAACATAGGATGTAGACACAATGGAACAAAACTAGACTGTTATTTGCTTGTTTTTACTGCAGCTAAAAACTCATTTAGTTGCTTGTACATTAAAAAAAAAAAATTATTATGTGAGAATTTTATTCTTTTTTATTACTTTTGTGTGAGGAATTAAATTTGAAGGATTTTTGAAGATATTTGGTAAATTTGATATCAATTTTAGTATCTAATTTTGTCCATATGAAAGGATGAAATTGACCAATTTCATTATTTTATAAAATATTATTTTGGATTTCAAGCAAGTAAGCCTAATAGAAACTGTGGCCATTTAAATACATAGCACACGATTCTTTTGTATTTACATTTCACACCTTAAGTTTCATATTTATACATGGTACCCAAGCCTTTAATATCATATAAAAAAATAACGTTATTATCACTTTTTCAATGTGCCTTTTCATGCAGAAGCTTAAAGCACCAACATGTTATGAATATAAATACATAAGATTTGTGGTACATATCTAAATTGCTCTATAAATTACTCAGGTTGATATTGTCAACCATTTCTGGAAACTCGGGATGTTTTCTAAATCTTCATGTACTAGAGGCATACTTGTTCACAATGTTTGTATGTTTGGTTTCATGTGAGATGGTTTTCCTAGATGACTTGTCATTTGTAATTTCTATCAACATTTTCTCTGTAAGACGTATGTTTTTTTTTCATTTCATATAATCTGTGTACGGACCTTGCTTTCATTTTTAAGTTATCTAACCTATAGTTTATAGTTGATTTATTTGGGTGTGATTTCAATTATTTAATTTGGTGGAGTTTAATATTTATTTTCTAATGTTAGGTTTGATCTTTTAACTTCGATTTGTTTATGCTTCTTAGTTGGTTGCGTAATAGGTGAATTAGCTGGTTTGAATATTTCCTGAATCTATTGGTTTTCTACATTTACACGAATGTCTCTTGATTTCTATATATTTACACAAACAACGCTTAAATTTTTTATATTACAAACATAACACCTTAGTCTTTAATATCACCTTCAAGATATTTATCACAGCACTCAATTTCAATGAATTGACATGCACAACACTTAAACTTTCATGTTTGCACAGATAACACTTAAATTTTTATAGATTAATATTTGCAACAGATAAAGTTTAAAGAATATACATATAACACAAAATTTTATAGATTTATATTTACAACGCAGAAAATTGACTCTTAAACCTTGATGTTTACATACAGATTTATCATTTTTTCACTCTAAACGTGAAATAAAATGCATCACACTAAAGTATGAAAGTTTTGGTGTTATATATAAATATATGAGAATTGAATGTTATATATGTAAATTGAAGTTTAGATTTTGGACATGTAAATGCATAGAAATGTTAAATTTTTGACATGCAAACTTAACAATTTTAGATTTTCTATATATGAAGACATGGACATTTAAAATTTTTCTATATGAACAAACGAAAGTTTTAAATCTTTTTATATACAAAATTAGAAAATTTTATATTTTCTTATACGAAAACATGAAAGTTTTAGATTTTTTTTTATATACAAAAAAAAAAAAAAGAAAAAAACTTCATATTTTCTAATGCAAACACATGAAGTTTCAGATTTATCATGAGAAGAACACACGAAAATTTCAGATTTTAATATATGAACACATGGAAGTTTTAGATTCTCCATTTATGAACAAACATATATTGCAAAATTTTCATATACTTACACATTAAAGTTTTAAATTTTTCATATAGGAACATACGAAAGTTTCATACTTTTCGTATATAAACATACGAAAGTTTACAGACAAGAATTTCATTCTATATATGTTTAGTTAGCTAAGCATATAAGAATTCAATTGTTTTAATAAAAATATGAGTGTTTAGGCATGTAAACACAGAAAACTTCAATTGTGTGAAAGTTTATCTATCTTAACACACGAAATCAATTGTACTTAAAGAAACTCTAAAAGCATAGGCATGCCAACACATAAGAGTTAAAATGTATGAAAGTTTAGTATCTAAACACAAAAGAATTTCATTGTATTTATACAACTCTGAAAACTTAGGCATATAAACAAATAAGAGTTCAATTGTATGAAAGATGAAACATGAAAGCTTAGACTTGTAAACACCAAAACTTTGAAAGTTTTGTTATTAAATACCAAAAATCTGAGAGTTGAAGCATTTAAGTACACAATTCTGAGAATTTAGGCATGTGAAACATACATATGAGAGTTTAGACATGTAAGACATAAAAGTTCAAATATATGAAAGATAACCAGAATGCTTGGACATGTAAACACAAAAAATCTAAAGTTTTAGTTATTAAATACCAAAAATCTGAAAGTTGAAACATCTAAATTTACAAATTTGAGAGTTCTATCATTTAAATACATAAATTTGAGAGTTTTTGCATGTGAACACATAAATATGAGAGTTTAGGTATGTAAACCCATAAATCTAAAAGTTTAGGCTTGCAAACACATACATATGAGAGTTTAGGCATGTGAACTCATAAATTTGAAAGTTTAGGCATATTAACTTATAATTTAAGAGTTTAGGCATTTGAATACATAAGCATTCATTTACATGATTGGAAACTTTGAAAGCTTGGACATGTAAACACCAAAAATTGGAAAGTTTAGGGATATAGATAAATAAGAACTCATATATATGAATGAAAAACTGAAAGCTTAGATAATAAACACCAAAAATATGAAACTTTATAAATTTAAATAGATAAGAATCCAATTATATGACCGAAAACTTTAAGCTTAGATATATTAATAACCAAAAAATGTAAAAGTTTAGGCACATAAATACCAAAAAAATGGGAGTTTAAGCATTTAAATACATAAGAATTCATTTACATGAATGAAAACTTGAAAGCATAGATATATAGACACCAAAAATAAAGTTTAGGCATTTATATACATAAGAATTCATTTATGTGAATGAAAATTTGAAAGTTAGACATGTAAACACCAAAAATTTGAAAGTTTAAGGATTTAAATAAATAAGAATTCATACATATGAATGAAAACTTGAAAGCTTAGATAAGTAAACACCAAAAATATTAAACGCTAAAATTTAAATAGATAAGAATCTAATTACATGAATGAAAACTTTAAGCTTAGATATCTAAACACCAAAAATCTAAAAGTTTAGGCACTTAAATACCAAAAAATTGGAGTTTAAGCATTTAAATACATAAGAATTAATTTACATGAATGGAAACTTGAAAGATTAGATATGTAAACACCAAAAATCTGATAGTTTAGGCTCTTAAATACATAAGAATTCATTTACATTAATAAAAACTTGAAAGCTTAAATATATAAACACCAAAAATGAGAAATTTTAGCCATTTAAATACATAAGAATTCATTTACATGAATGAAAACTTGAAAGCTTAGACATGAAGAGCCAAAAAAAATTAAAGTTTAGGCATTGAAATACCACAACATTGGGAGTTAGCATTTAAATACATAAGAATTCGTTTACATGACTGAAAACTAGAAAGCTTAGATATGTAAACTCCAAAACTCAAAAAAATAAGAATTCATTTATATGAATGAAAACTCAAAAGCTTAGACATGTAAATACTAAAAATATGAAAGCTTAGGCATTTAAATACAAAACAATTGGGAGTTTAAACATTAAAATACATAAGAATTAATTTACATGTAAATTTCCTTTCTCGTTTGCCTTGCATGATAGAAGTTGGGAGGGATGCTAGGCTCTTAGGATTTATAAGAGATTAGTAGGGAGTCAACTGCATGCAAAATGAAGAGGGATTATCTACTTTGCTTTACAAATCAAAGAAGAGTATGGTGTGGCATATGTTATTATCTTGTAGCAACTTGAGAAAAGAATAGAGTAATCGTCATTCTTCTAATGTCATAGATTCTTAAACAAGAGAGGAGAAATAAGAGGGTTTCAACTCTTGTGCTTGGCTTGAGATGTTAAGGGAGAGAAAAGAGGTCCAAGAAATGTGGGGATCGGCTAGGCTTTGCAAAGAGGTGGCACAAACAATTTCTTAATGGAGAGATTTCCATTTCAATGGCAAGATAGTGTGGAGTTATAGGAACTGTCCGAGAGCGGGAGTCGTCAGAGTTTCGAAGTGGGAAGAGGGAGAGGATTTTGGCCCATGTGCTTGATGTATGATGGGGCTTCTTCCCTTCAATGGTTGGCGAATCCAAGGAGGGGCTTCAACTTCTTGCCTCGGTTGTGGAGATGGGAGAACTGAATGGGAGAGAAATTTTTCCATACGAAGAGCGGAAGCAGCTCTGTGTGCGAGCTTAGTAATATGTCTCTACGTGTGCTACATCAGAGCCGCCTCATAAAGGCCGTGCGATGAATCGTTCCAATAACCTCCACGGTTCCACTTCAATAACCCCATAGAATAACTGTAATAAGTCCCCAATAATGCCGCAATAACTCTTCAATAACACCATGTGAAGACTGGTCCAATAACGCCACAGTTCTGCTTCATTAACCCCCGTAGAATAATTTCAATAATCGCTTCAATAACACCACAATAACTCCCCAATAACTCTTTGTAATGAACTGCTTCGATAACCTCTGCTGAATAACACCGCGCGAAGAACTCATCCAATAACGCCGCAGTCCTGCTTCAATAACTCCCGCAGAACAATTCCAATAATAGCTCCAATAACACTGCAATAACATCTAATAACCCCAAATAAAACCATGCCGGTGAACAACTCCAATACCCGCAACGGTTCCACTTTAATAACTCCCACATAACAACTCCAATAAGTCACCAATAACGCAATAACTTATTAATAACACCTCACATTTAATAAAATTATAAAAAAGAGAATATAGTGTTACCCTCTTGTTCCTCCAATGAAATAAAAAACCAGTCACAATATACATTGAAGGGTTATTGCAGTGTTAGTGCGGACTTATTAGAGTGCAGTGTTAGCGCGGACTTATTAGAGTTGTTGTACAGGGGTTATTGAAGTTCAACGGTGGAGGTAATTGAAGTGGTTCACTGCATGGTGTTATTGGAGCTTATTGGGTGATTATTGAGGCGTTATTGAAGCAGTTATTGAAATTGTTCTGTAGGGGTTATTGAAGTGGAACCACAAAGGTTATTTGAACGATTCACGAC